TGTACATGTACATTAATACCTTGTGCAGCGTATCTGTTGGTCCCATCATTAACCAGTACATTATAAAACGGTTGATTTGGTCCCAGTGGTAGCTGATCCACTCCCATTTGATGTATCCAGGCCTCAGTCATCTCACAAGAATAATCCCATCCATAGATCACACAATAATAATCATATCTACAGTGTAGTACATGTATAATATAAGAATGATGATTAAAATACATGTACGTGTACAAACTATACATAAATTCATACACACAATCCCACTGAGAGGTGATAAATTCCTGGGGCCTCCGACAATATCAGGACCCCAAAAGCCAGAATAGTTTTCAAAATAATGCAGTTATTTAATGGGCAAAATAATGCAGTTTTTACTTTCATTTCTTACCAGCACTTCTTACTCTCTCTCAGTAATAACAGTAATAAGTAATAGTAATAATTATAATCCTTTTGTGCAATAATTATCAGTAATACAGTACATGTAGATATTCCCTCACCTAATGTGTTTCATTATTAGTCCTATATCATACTGAATCTTACTGGGGTCACGTGACTTAACCTAATAGCAAATAATAACGAAAATGCCAAAATAAATTGTAAGTATAACAATGTGGGAATGTACATGTAGTTCTTTTTTGAAATAAAATTCATGATAACAGTCAGACAACCCAAGTCTAATAAATATTTGTACTTTCACTTTCGTCTTTTCTTCTACTCTAATTCCCAAAGTACTAGCTCCTCCCCTTGCCCCGCCCCTCTCACCCTGGTTGGTTCTTGAAGTGCTTTCCTCTTCCTGTCCAACAGATGCTGTCCTCTTTGTACTTTAATTAACACGTGGGCCATGTTACACTCTAGCAGCATATCTGATAACACCCAAACAACCTAACAACAACAATAAACAACAACAAATGACATGTTACAAATACTCCTATCATCTAATGCTTGCTATCTAAATTACCATAACTTGCACAGTAGCTTTTATTAAATGGATTGTTTCTTTCAGTCCAATTAACCATTCCTTTAAAGTAATAGTTCAATTGCTTTTGGCCAAACACATATACATGTACATCTAAATGTACATATACATGTACGTGTATATAGACGTTAAAGTCATGACTAGATGTACATACTAACTTGTTTAACGTTAAACCTTAGGTCCAGTGCAATGTTAGCAGCCTCTGATGCAAACTGACGGGTAAAATCACTCACTGGAGACATCCAACACAAGGAGAGCTGGAGGGAGAGAGAAGAGGGGAGGACAAGAGGGCCCCTACAATTAAGAGTAATGATTATTAGAAAATGTATTACAAATAAAGAATTCTCTCCTTTTCATTTTTGGTAAAATTTGGCCAATGACCCTGTACTATTAGTAACGCGGTAGCGTTACTAAGTAGGATTCACCCCCAAACAAAATGGCTGCCACGACTTTTGCAGCCTTGCTATACTGGGAAAACGAGCTCCTATGCTTACCAGACTTCTTAGAGGACCTCATCTTGACCAGAGGACTCCAATGGTACAACTAGCGTGGCTCTAGACCTTGTCTAAGGAAAAAGTCAAAAATCGGCGAACCAGCCGTTTTGTTCAGCCACCTTTTTTCATCTTCATCTTCATCAAGTCAGTCCTGTCAAAAAAGTTTACAAGGTGTATCTCAGTATCAGTTGGTGCTACAAGAATAATTCTTAGACCAATCTACTCTAAGAGTCTATGCGCAGGTCCATGTCCCATCAGATCATTCTTCAAGTAAGGAAAAAGTGATACTGTGACTGCTGGATCGAGCCATCTTAGCTACATGCCGCCATTTTGTTAATTAAAGAAGCTTGCCATGTGCTCCAAAATTTGGGTGTGGTCGCGCATGCTCAGATCTGCAGCTCTGGAAGAAGCAAGTTATTTTTTTACCAAGCTATGCTTGGAATCAACTTACTGATACTGCAATACTTTAGTGGAGGTTTCCAGCTAAAAGAAGGTATTGATTTTACATGTTACTGTTTTATCAA